CACTAGACCCCACTCCCCTCCCTGAGCCACGGAGAGAACCCAGGAGTCCTGGCTCCCACGCCCCCCTGCTCTAACCACTAGACCCCACTCCCCTCCCTGAGCCACGGAGAGAACCCAGGAGTCCTGGCTCCCACGCCCCCCTGCTCTAACCACTAGACCCCACTCCTCTCCCAGAGCCAGGGAGAGAACCCAGGAATCCTGGTTCCCAGCCCCCCCTGCTCTAACCATTAGGGATGAGGGGGGGTGTTATGTTGCATCGTCACAGCTGGTTGAGCAGCTGGTGCGGGGAGGGAGGGGGTAGATGGCTGGGGGGGCGGGGCCCATGTTTACCTGCCCAGGTATGCTGCGGGCGCGGCTGCTGGGGATCGCGCCACACACCTGTGTCCAGGTGACGGAGGGGAAAGGACGGTTCCTTGGACACCTAAGAGCCGAATCCGGTGGGACTGAGGGGTGGACCCCCCCGTTTTCAGTATCTCCCCCCACACACACTTGAGATGCCTGGGGGGGGCAACGTCTGAATAGCCGGCAAAAGATCGGGTAAGTGTGTGGGGGGGACAGACTGGAAGGGGTGAGTCCAGCACCCCAGGGATGGGGGGGATGGGCTGAGGGGGCACCCCCGCCCCAGCTCAGCCCCGTGCCAAGAAATTGCAGGTTATCAGGCCTGAGTCAATATTGTCAGGCTCCTGTGTTGGCCTTGGTCTGGGGAGAGGATGTGGGGCTGGGGGGGCGGCTGGGATGGGAGGTTGTGGGGGGCAGCCCCTTGGGGAGTGGGTCTCCCCCTCATGGACGTGGGGGGGCGGGTGGAGGGAAATAGTCTGTTCCCACACCCTTGATAAACAGACCAGTTTCTCGCAGGGCGAAACATGGGAGGCGTCACACGAGGGAGAGGCCGTCCCGTCCCGGACGCCTGGGTTCTCTCCCAGCTCTGGGAGGGGAGGCGAGTGGTTAGAGCAGTGGAGCTGGGAGCCAGGACTCCTGGGTTTTCTTCGCAGTTCTGGGCAGGGAGCGGGGTCTAGTGGTTAGAGCAGGGGGAGGCAGGGGGGCTGGAAGCCAGGACTCCTGGGTTCTATCTCTGGCTCTGCAGGGAGGGAGGGTGCCACCCCCAGACTCTATCAATGATTCTCTCACTGTCTTTGAACCCTCAAGGTGAAGTGTGAATTGTGGATTCTGTCAACACCATGAGCTCCTCAGGCAGGTGAGTACGGGGTGGGGGACCAGGACTCTTGGGTTCTTGCCCTGGCTGTGGGAGGGGAGTGGGATCTACTGGTTAGAGCAGAGGGCGGCTGGGAGCCAGGACTCCTGGGTTCTCTCCCTGGCTTGGGGAGGGGAGTGGGGGCTAGTAGTTAGAGCAGGGGGGGCTGGGAGCCAGGACTCCTGGGTTCTCTCCCTGGCTGTGGGAGGGGAGCGAGTCTAGTGGTTAGAGCTGGGGTGGGGCTGGGAGCCAGGAGTCCTGGGTTCTCTCCCTGGCTTGGGGAGGAGAGTGGGGGCTAATGGTTAGAGCAGAGGGGGCTGGGAGCCAGGACTCCTGGGTTCTCTCCCGGCTCGGGGACTGGAATGGGACCCCAGCAATCTGCTCTCCCTGTCGCCAGCCTCCGGCTCTGTTCTCTTGTCGTTTAACTTTCTCTTTCTCCTTCCCCCTTTCTGCAGTGAGGTCTCCAAGCCCAGCGCCAGGGAGATCTACGGTGAGTCTCTGATGGGGGGTGAGGGGAGGACTGGGGGTGAGAGCAGCTGGGCCGCATTTTTATTATTGTAGGGTCTCTCGCAGGTCTTTGGTGAGCTGCTGTGTTGTCGTAGGGTCTCTCTGCTGGGCAAGGGAGTCAGGTGTGCTCATTTGTTATTGTCGGGTCTCTGCTGAGCCGCGGTGTTATTGTTGGATCTCTGTGCTGGGCTGTGGTGTAATTGTAGGGTCTCTCGGATGAGCTGTGGTGTTATTGTATGGTCTCTGTGCTGGGCGGGGGTGTAATTGTAGGGTCTCTCGGATGAGCTGTGGTGTTATTGTATGGTCTCTGTGCTGGGC